CTGATGTTCTGAGCGCGTGTCCCTTCTTTCTTCCATATAGCAGGACTGTTTGTATAGTGAAACCAATACAGCGATAGTAGCTAGGCCGTGTCATAGATTTGGTGATGTTCAGAGTTGCATGATTCAAAGAATCTTTAGCATCGGAGTATGTTTCATGCATACGTGTATTCCTGTTTGCCACCGGGGATTTATTTTATTATCATGAGGAGGTATGTTTGCAGACTAAGACTAATCTTTACATGTGTCTTTTATCACCATCAGCTATAAACTGCAAAAGTTAATTAGTATAGTCGAACATTAGTAAGTCCCCATGATCCGCAGTGAGGTAGCCTAGCTTTGGTTGCTGGTGGCTTATAGCCAATGTTTTAAACAGTTGTAAAATATTATTATCATTAAATATTTGTGACAAATTTGCTTTTAAATATAACTTGTATTTATGACGTACGTGCATACACATACACTTGTTGGAATAATGCAGATACGACGTTCCATTAACTCAGCCACGCACTAACCGTTAACACAGTTATGTGTAGCTTAATCTAGTCTAGATTTAAGCATTATTCCCCCACTGCATTGTATTGTCAGGAAATAATATACATATTAGTTTTCCTTTTCGGGGATTAACGTAGGCATTTCTTGCATTCCCTCGTGTATGTAATCCCAAGCAGAGCCTCAAAGTTGTGGATTTGTATACCAATTGCAACGTTATCGGATTTGAAATTGCGTGATCATTATTTAAACATTTTGATGTGGAAAGACCTACTATTAGAAAACACATATCTTTTGGCATTATGACAAAGGATGTAATGTGTGTTGGCTTTTCAAAAAGCACGTCCTGTTTGGAAATATCTGGAGGTCAATTTACAACTGGTATACATTTTGTGTAATAGATATCGGCTCAAGGTGTAGTCAATGCTGCCTGACGATTTGAAATAATAGGTCCACTTTGCACTGAATGATACTTACATACTGTTATGGTAGTGATGGTTGTTTTTCGTTTGGAATGGGAAGGGGCGTCGTTTCATGATTTACCCCGGTAACTGAGTTGGGAATAACTATTTGTTCAACCACCGATATCACGGTGCTGGGAAATTGATATCATATTTGAGGGAAGTTCGAGGATGTTGTACATTATCAAACGATACGGAAAGCTGTTCACACAATGCTGACGATGTTTCCCAACCTTCTCATTTATTAATGACAGTCCACTAGTAATTCATTCGGAGTCAACATTACACATTTGTGTTAATTTCCAGGATGCAGTGTCGGCCATTACAGAGATGGACAAGACTGTACACGGTGTGGAGCTGGATGTAATGGAGTGTGTGATGGCACGGACGGTTCCTGCAGATGTAAAACTGGCTGGACGGGAAGTAGATGCAACAGTAAGTACTGTCATTGAACCATTGTTTGTTCTTTGTAATTGAGTTTACAAAATCTCCTCTCTACTATTATCTGTACTCGGTATGTTGTTGAATAATAACAATCATTTTTTTCAAAATCAAGCGTGGGAGCCGAAGCGTCAATAATAAATGCACTTATCTTGCACGTCATTATTTATACATTTATACATTTGCACGTCACTCGTTTATACATTTGAAACCTCGCGCTAAAACGCTCAACTTTAAATTAAAATAAGAGGTATCTACTCTACAGTGGGACTACCTCAAATTTCAAAACACATCAGGTGTATCTCCTAAATGAGTTTTGTCGTTGGAGATATGGCTGAGATTCATCTTGATGACTACGCACTGTTCGTATCAGTGTTTGGTGTACGTATGTCATGACACTGGTATGATGTTTCTGCAGTAATTCATCCACAACATTAGTACTTTTAGTGATTGTCATATAACGTCTGCGCAGTGGAAACGCTATCTCTTTAGCATTTCGATCTGAATGTGATTAGTTGTTATGTAACGTTTATTCCAAATACACAGCATCTTTTCTCCAAAGACATGTACAAAATAGCTTACATCTCACATCATATGAACATCAGATAGCCATACGGAGATGGGGCTCTTCTTTGCTTTGGGTAGTGAAATGTGCAATGATTTTAACATATATCAAGTGTTTCTTAAGTTTATCTAAAGTGGTTCTCTGTCCTTAGTTTGGAATGGGGAGACGCGTCGTTTCACGATTTGTTCCGGTAACTGAGTTGGGAATAACTATTTTTTCAACCACCGATATCACAGTGCTGGGAAATTGATATCATATTTGAGGGAAGTTCGAGGATGTTGTACATTATCAAACGATACGGAAAGCTATTCACACAACGCTGATGATGTTTCACAACATTCTCATTTATTAATGACAGTCCACTAGTAATTCATTCGGAGTCAACATTACACATATGTGTTAATTTCCAGGATGCAGTGTCAGTCATTACAGAGATGGACAAGACTGTACACGGTGTGGAGCTGGATGTAATGGAGTGTGTGATGGAACGGACGGTTCCTGCAGATGTAAAACTGGCTGGACGGGAAGTAGATGCAACAGTTAGTACTGTCATTGAACCATTGTTTGTTCTTTGTAATTGAGTTTACATAATCTCCTCTCTACTATTATCTGTACTCGGTACGTTGTTGAATAATAACAATCATTTTTTTCAAAATCAAGCGTGGGAGCCGAAGCGTCAATAATAAATGCACTTATCTTGCACGTCATTATTTATACATTTATACATTTACACGTCACTCGTTTATACATTTGAAACCTCGAGCTAAAACGCTCAACTTTAAATTAAAATAAGAGGTATCTACTCTACAGTGGGACTACCTCAAATTTCAAAACACATCAGGTGTATCTCCTAAATGAGTTTTGTCGTTGGAGATATGGCTGAGATTCATCTTGATGACTACGCACTGTTCGTATCAGTGTTTGGTGTACGTATGTCATGACACTGGTATGATGTTTCTGCAGTAATTCAACCACAACATTAGTACTTTAATTGATTGTCATATAACGTCTGCGCAGTGGAAACGCTGTCTCTTTAGCATTTCGATCTGAATGTGATTAGTTGTTATGTAACGTTTATTCCAAATACATAGCATCTTTGCTCCAAAGACATGTATAAAATAGCTTACATCTCACATCATATGAACATCAGATAGCCATACGGAGATGGGGCTCTTCTTTGCTTTGGGTAGTGAAATGTGCAATGATTTTAACAGGTATCAAGTGTTTCTTAAGTTTATCTAAAGTGGTTCTCTGTCCTTAGTTTGGAATGGGGAGACGCGTCGTTCACGATTTGTTCCGGTAACTGAGTTGGGAATAACTATTTTTTCAACCACCGATATTACAGTGCTGGGAAATTGATATCATATTTGAGGGAAGTTCGAGGATGTTGTACATTATCAAACGATACGGAAAGCTATTCACACAACGCTGATGATGTTTCACAACATTCTCATTTATTAATGACAGTCCACTAGTAATTCATTCGGAGTCAACATTACACATATGTGTTAATTTCCAGGATGCAGTGTCAGTCATTACAGAGATGGACAAGACTGTACACGGTGTGGAGCTGGATGTAATGGAGTGTGTGATGGCACGGACGGTTCCTGCAGATGTAAAACTGGCTGGACGGGAAGAAGATGCAATAGTAAGTACTGTCATTGAACTATTGTTTGCTTGTTGTTTGTGTGTTAATTTCCTCTCTACTATTGTTGTACTCGTTCTGTTATCGAATAACAAATGTGACGCACCAATTTTATTATTACATTCTTTATTGTAATTTCTTGTTTTACTGACTGCAACTTAATTAATAGAGGATAGGTGTTATATTTATTAGGGACATATTTGACGTCATTTTCACAGCATTCATAGTGTCTATTTTGTAAAAGAATGTGTGCTACAACAAGATTGAATAAGAGCGATAATGGGTCAAAGTGGGTATGACACTCTTTACATTATAATATTGGATACGACATGTCAAGGGCAGTTCCCGACCACGTACATGTCTACCTGTTTGTCCAATTCTGTCTTTGGGGACAATCCTTGGGTATTCCATCGCTATTACCCCACCCTAAGACCTTAGAGTTAGGGACATCCCTTTATTTTGTCAAGAATAGTGGACCCCGTTTCTTTGTTTAAGTGATAGGTTTCAAAACGAGTGAGCTAATGCGTTGACGTAATAAATGTACGTTTCAGAGCATTCTTTTTCCTTTTCTTTAGAATTCTAAGATATTATTTTTCACAACTGCATGTGAAGAAAGTAGTATGTAGTGGAACCACCAAAAATGTTTAAATATAATGGAAGGCTTTTTGAAAACATGTGCGTCCAAAGTTACTTTCACTCACTACAGGTGCTCATTGGCAGATATGATTCAAAGGACGACTTGCTCTAGTAGCGCCTTCCAAAGTCGATTTCCCTGTTCATTTGTACCTGATGCTCATTAATCCTTCTGACAATGCCCATTTAACAAGTTATCACAATAGTATTAAACGGATTAGAAAAAGGATTTTGTCATCCTAAAATGGCCATTAGTCTCTTGGACGTCGCCCACCGTCGATTATTGCTGGCTGAGATATGACTGGTCTTCACAAACACCATACTTTTGGTTTGTACTCTGTACGTGTACAGGAATATTATGTTGATTCAATTAATGCATATAAAAAAAATGCTACAAAACTCTTTACTTCATAAAAATGCATTGTACGATTTAGACTAGATCCTATGCATGTGTTTTTGCATCTGTATCAAATGCTGATGATACCAGGTGTAACACAATCTAACGTCACATGACTTCATAAAACATGCGTTATTCGCCGCTCAATCATTTACGTTACAGAATGCGGAAATAATTAAACATAGATAGACGTGACGGAGTGTCTAGGCTTCACAAAACACCACCATTTTGGTGTGTTCTCTGTTCGTGTTTCATGTCCAGGAATATTATCATAATGTTAATTTACTGAAAGCCTATAACACAATATAACGTCACATACCATCATAAAACATGTGTTATTCATTTACGTTACAGACTGCGAGGGCGGCTTTTACATGGAGATAGGTGACTGTGTAGAGTGTGGTGCTGGATGTGAGTTGGGGACTTGTAACGCTAATACCGGCGGATGTAGCTGTAGACCTGGGTGGAAAGGACGTCGATGTGCCACACGTGCGTGTCAGACTTTATACATTACTGTTGTCTTATTTCGTATTGACTTGTGTGATGTGGGTTTTTTCCAATTAGCTACCATCAAACATTGGTGTATGCTTCCTTTTGCCCGGCACCTAATATCGTGCAGTTTACAAACTGTTGGCGCGGAAAATCCCACTAAAATGTGGAGCCCATACAACATTTTCCCTTTTCATTCAAACTTGTAAGGTTTTTGACATTATTCTGTTAACTACCATTGATCGATGGTGAAAGGACAGTACACCCGGTGACAAGAATGAGAGATGTAAGCACCTTTTGCCTGAGTGGGCTACTAGTCACAGCTGGCAGTGCTTACAGTAGAAATCACTACTTCATCTGCAGTTTGTATTGACGGAACATATGGACGAGGCTGTACAGGGGAGTGTAACATAGGATGTAAACCATAGTTGAATAGTAAATAGAATTAAGATAACAGCCAAAGGCGGAACTGTTTCACAATATTAGCTAGCTGTGTCTGTGTTGCTTGAGTATACTGTTAGCATCATAATAACCCTAGTGTATGTATTACATTGTCTTTTCTTGACACGCAATGGGGGCTGTGGAAGTGTGTTGTTTAATCATTCTTCTTTCTTTTTGTCTCACCAGCTCTTTATGATTAATGGTGAATGTGTAGTACTTGGTGGCCAAAATAATTTGTCTATTTTGCATGAGGTTTGTGCTCAGATTTTCTTGCGTTTTTTTATTAGTAATTATATTGTAAAATTATGTACATACAATGTCCATTTCCATCTGTAGGTTGTACTGAGGGAACATACGGACGACGCTGTACAGGGCTGTGTAGCACGGGATGTAAACAAGGATCCTGCCACCACATCACCGGTGACTGCAACAGTGAGTGTAAAGACGGATGGAGAGGTCCTCGTTGTGAAGAGCGTAAGTTTTCATTATCAGTCAGTATGGTGCTTGATGTCCAATCTCTTTGCCTCTTCGTTGTTAACCTAGAAACGCTTTTCTTTGAACTGTTGAAAATATGACGAGAGCCGATAAATCAATATATAGTAATGACATTTCACTTTCATTTTCACTTATGAGTGAATGGCTTCACATTAACAATTTCCCCCTCATGAAATCCCTATTCATAATACTATATATATTAGTAGTGTGTTTGAAGCAGTGAAATGTCCTCAAATAATCGATATATGCATCTCGACAAAGGAGATGATAGGTCATCTTGACATCGTCAACAAGTCCATGTCATCATGTCTCTTTCGACAACTATGTAAATACTTTAATTTGGAAAAACATCAACCGTATAATCTTCACCCTTTGGCTGTGACTTTGTATACTGGCCCGACATCTTAATTCATATTTATTGTACTTTTTTCTCTCCCTTCACCCGTGGCAACCAATGCACACTGACATTAGCTGAACATATTACAAATGATTTAGTGGAGGTGAATAAGATGCTGTGGTGTAATATTTGACGTTAATATGTCAACTGAATAGCTACTCTTTGACCAACCATCATAATATTTCATTAACATGTTACTTTAATATTTGTTCAGTTATAATGGGTCCTAAGTCTGTTAAACAATAAACAGTTAACCTGGATATTATAGAGCAGCATATCATCAGGAATGTATTGAACAGTGAAAGTTTGGAATACTACTTAGTAATGATCAATATGTGGCTCGTCGGGAATGACCAACATACATATTTCTAAGTGAAATACACCTCCACGGGTCTTAACATTCAGTGGGGGTAGGGATGTGTGTGTGTGTGTGTGTGTGTGTGTGTGTGTGTGTGTGTGTGTGTGTGTGTGTGTGTGCCGGGGGTTGGGGGAGGGGGCAGTGTTGTTTCTTCTTTCTATAAGGTAAGGCCACTTTTTACTGCATCTCGTTACAAAAATAAGGGAACCAAAAATGGGAGATGTCAAAGGCTGTTGATGGAATTTGCGGTCATGGTAAATATGTCACTCTTCGGTCTATTTCTCTCCCGATAGAATGTACACAGGGACAACATATATAAATCTTCTCAATACACATCACTTTGCAAGTACTGAGAATGTTGCCTCGGTGCACAAATCACTGAATTCATGCAGGGGCATTGTCCGCTACCGAACAAAACGTCCGTTTTAGAGTAAGTGAGTGAGTATAGTTTTACGCCGCTTTTAGCAACATTCCAGCGATAGGGGGCGGGGGGGACACGAGAAATGGGCTTCACACATTGTCCCCATGTGGGGAATCGGACCCGGGTCTTCGGCATGTCGAGCGAGCGCTTTATCCACTAGGCTACCCCCACCGCCCCTCCATTGTAGAAGAATTGGGGATAATCTGCTGCTGCACAATTAGACGTTTAATCTGTATCCCAGAGTTTTATCTTTTATGTTGATACAGAGTGTCCTGACGGCTCGTATGGTGACAATTGTGTTTCGACATGTTCACCTGGATGTCGTGTATTCCCATGTGATAAGAAAACTGGAAAGTGTAAATATGACGGAGGTTACTACTGTATACGTGGATGGACATCTGGGTCTTCTTACTTGAACAGATGTGACAGTAAGTACCTGCAGATGTGCGTTACACCTTAGATGACATGATGTGTAAATCTGACATGATGGCCAATATATGTACATTTTTGAGACCCATACAATTGTTGAAAACATTTGTTGTCTTTAGTGTACTTATTTAAGAATAAGTAATGCAAGTTATCGGGGATGTAGTTGTTTCTTTATTTAGATTACTTTGCCCTGTATGTATTGATGTTAGCTGTATGTATTTGTCATGGCATTAGAATGATGATGCAGTAATTTGTCCACAAGTGAAGTACTTCTACTGATTGTCATATACTGTCTATACAGTGGAGATAGTAACAAGTACAAACTACCAAACACGTTTCTCTTCATGGGATTGCACTCTCTGTAACAATTAGATCCGAATGCGATTAGATGTTATGTTACGTTTATTCTAAATATATGCATGTAACATAATACATACATCCCCTTTTCGTTTTGTTTTGCTTGTTTTTTGTTTATCGCGGCACTAAGCAATATTCCAGCTACTTGACGGCGGTCTTAAATAATCGAAACTCGACCAGACAATCCAGTGATTGATATTATGAGCATCCGTCTATGCAATTGAGAAGGCAAGGCAGCGAGCCTGACCACCCAATCCCGTTTGTCGCCTCTTATGACAAGCATAGTCGCCTGATAGGCAATGGACAAGGGACAAACGGGAGGCAGCGCTGATAGGAATAGTTATGGAAATGGCAATGGTCAAATGGAAGCCTACTGGACACATCAGCACAGACATTAATCAAAGCAATAAGTGATATCAAGTGTATGTAAAATGTCAGGGTATGTGTCAATCAATATATCTTCAAGTTCAAAATACTGGAATGTTCGTCAAAATGGCTGACAGATATATTGAAATATGTTGGTTAATTCCATGGGAATAATTAGAAGGGTACAACCCCCTTAGTTCTTTTTATCCGTAATTGTTGTCAGCATAACATTCCTTCCTACAGTATGATCATATAGATATATGTATAATTTTAGAACGGATATGACGTTTGGCTATTTATTCCTGCATTTAACGTGAGGTCGCCCTTCAGTATGCTAATCAAGGACTTCTGCGTGATTATTCTTCCGTTCACGTTCCGTTTTTTGTTTAAATGGCAGGCTTTATATATAAGGGAACTTTAATGGGTATTTGTTGTTTAAAGTAGTTATGTGTGCTGCACGCCACGTAACCAAACATACATAATGGAAGAAGGACAGACTGATTTTGACAGCAAACTCTCTACATTGTTGTCACATGACCAGTGCTGTGTGTATCGTTTCATTAATAATACATTCGAAACCAACAATATTTATTGTTCCTGTAACAGAAAGAACCATTCCTGGACCTAAAGCAGTTTTATTAGGATGTGTCCAAGAAACAGTAACACGTGTTACAGCTATTTATAGACGATCAAGAATACCAAATTACGTTATGATCATATAATGACAAGTGAAAGGATACTTTGGATAGTATTTTGACTTTCAGGAGTGATGTGGACACAATATTCACTATTTGAATGAGTGTTTTACGCAGATTTGAACACTGTCAGTATTCAGTTATATCACAGAGTTTAAGTTTGACCTGGAAGGAAAGCCCTGAGGGATGCAGGTCTTACATGTTTACCGATAAGGTGGACCCCATGAGCACGGTAATGGTGCTGACAAACGTCTTGCGTGACTGAGGGGGCCTCCGACTTCATAAAGACAGACATTCACGGGACTATACGAGCGTTTCCAGCCACGCGTAAAGTTGATGTGATCTGTTGAATGTTATAAGAAGACATGAGACATTTTAATTCCATATCAAACAATGGACTATGTTTCAAGTGAGTTAGTTTGGTTTAACACCGCTTTTAACAGTATTCCAGTTATCGCAGCGTGTCAGCTTAATGTGGGAGGAAAGCCAGAAGTGATGCAGGTCTCAGAGTTTACCACTTCGGTGAAACCCACGAGCACGGGTAGGGTGCTGACAAAACTAGAAACATAATCGGGGCAAAACAGGATTCGAAGCCACAATCATAGGTTTCTGGCGTGCCTTAGGGACGCAACTCTGCACAGCGAATTGCGGCGCCTTAGACGACTGGGCCACCCGTGCCCCCCTATGTTTCAAGCAATAGCTTTATTAGCAATAATTTTATATTCAAAATACGGATCCCTGTAGGGACGTCTGGGAAGACTACGTCCAAGGAACATCATGCTTGTCACAGGATAACTCAGTGTTGATTGGTCTAAATGGGATCTGGGTGTCAGCCTGTCCCGGCGGCTATAAGTGCTATCAACTATTGGTTTACCTGTCCTAGACACTTGTTGCGAACAGAAGCATTAACTCGCACACTCGTTGACAATATGGATTCATGCATCGCATTGTCCCTGGGCTTAAATTCAATTAAACACATACATATTCATATTTCTTCATGGCTGTTTTGCAATATTGTGAATCCCTTCAGTTATGTCTGTCAGCTATCTGTCACAGTTTTCCACACTGAATTGTCTTGATAGGAAATAATATACATATTACTTTTCCTTTTATATATACCGAATTATTTTTAAACCAATTTGAAAAGAGATTGTATACTTGTTCCTCCCAAGAATGGCACTCTTCTTTAGATTCCTCTGCATTGTCATTTTACAATACGCAAAAATCTTTGTTATATTGTGAACTATATTTATCTATGCAGCTATCATATTTACAGAAAAGATTGTTAACTAAATTCAGATCTGGATGTAATAATTTGGGTATACAATATTACCGCAAAAGAATATTGCGTTCAGGTGATCCTAAGACTCTTTGTAAACATTGTGGATCAGTTGAAGATGAAGCACATGTTGTATATGTATACATGTTCTATGAAGATAAGCGTAAGGATTTACTTCCAAGATTAAGCAATAACCAGTACTACCCACTAAACGTGTGTGTACCTCAAAAGATATCAATATTTTAGTTCCATTTACTAAGTTTCTCGAATGTATTTTCTTTTGATAAACCTCATAAATATTTATATCCATAATATAAGTCAAGATGAGAGTAGTGGTAAATCTAAAAGAATTTGTAATACTATTTGTACTTTGGTCATGTGGCCTGAAATGCAATAAAACAAGTCTGTCTGTCTATGTCTGTCTGTCTTAGTTTTCCTTTTCGGGGATTAACGTACGCATTTCTTGCATTCCCTCGTGTATGTGATCCCAAGCAAAGCCTCAAAGTAGTGGCTTTGTATACTATCAGCAATATTTATCTGATTTGAAATTGTGTGGTCATTATCTAAACATTTTGCCATGGAAAGACCAACTACTAGTAAACACAAATCTTTTGGCATTCGACAAAGGACGTAATGAGTGTTGGCTTTTAAAAATGCATGTTCTGTTTGGAAATATCTGGAGTACAATTTACAACTGCAAAACATTTTGTGTAATAGATACCGATTCAAGGTGTAGTCAATGCTGCCTGACGATTTGAAATAATATGTCCACTTTGCACTGAATGATACTTACATACTGTTATGGTAGTGATGGTTGTCTGTCGTTAGTTTGTTATGGGGAGACGCGTGGTTTCACGATGTATTCCGGTAACTGAGCTGAAAATAACTATTTGTTCAACCACAGATATCACGGTGCTGGGAAATTGATGTCATACTTGAGGGAAGTTCAAGGATGTTGTACATTATCAGACGATACAGCAAGTCAATTACACAACGCTGATGATTTTTCGCAACATTCTCATTTATTTATGACAGCCCACTTGTAATTCATTCAGATTCATTCAACATTACACATATGTGTACATTTCCAGGATGCAGTGTCGGCTATTACCAAAACGTACAAGACTGTACACAGTGTGGAGCTGGATGTAATGGAGGGTGTGATGGCACGAACGGTCACTGCACATGTAAAACTGGCTGGACGGGAACTAGATGCAACAGTAAGTACTGTCTTTGAACTATTGTTTGCTTGTTGTTCATGTGTTATTCTCCCCTCTACTATTTTTTGTACTCGTTATGCTATCGAATAACAAAAGTGACGCACCAATTTTATTATTACATTCTTCATTGTAATTTCTTGTTTTATCGACTGCAACTTATTTAAAATAGGATTAGAATGTGGAACAACCAAATATGTAAACAGTTGGATATTTCATGGAAGGCTCTTTTACAACATCATGTTCGTCCTTAGTGACTTTCACTCCCTACATGTGCTCATTGGCAGATATGATTCAATGGACGACGCGCTCTAGTAACACCTTCCCTTGTCAACTTCCCTGTTCATTGTACCATATGAACGTTAATCCTTCTGACAGTGTGCCTTTAACAAGTAATCGCAAAAGCATTCAACAGATTAGAACAAAATATCTTGTCATCCTCCAATGGCCATTGGTCTCATGGGCGGTGTCCATCGTTGATAATTGCTGGCTGAAATATGACTGGTCTTCACAAATACCATACTTTTGGTTTGTTCTCTGTACGTGTACAAGAATATTCTGTTGATTCCATTAATGCGTATCAATAAAAAAAGACAAAACACTTTCCATCATCCAAATTGCATTGTACGATTCAGAATAGTTTATATTCACATGTGTTTTTGCATTAGTATCAAATAGTGATGATACCAGGTGTAACACAATCTAACGTCACATGGCTTCATGTAACATGCGTTATTCGGCGCTCGATCAGTTACGTTACAGAATGCGGGAATAGATAGACATGGATAGACGCGACGGAGTGTCTTGGCTTCACAAAACACCACCATTCTGTCATTTTTTGTTGTGCAATGTTATCAAAATGGACATGTTCTGCCACTTTAAGTGGGCCTTGCAACAGTTAAATCCATTATGGAATCGTAATGCCCATTTGTAAACATTCTTCAAGAGTTTTCAGTTTTGAGTATATTGTTTTAAGGGATTTGTCATTTGCCCCCAAATCAACTTGAAAAACTAACCAAAGCTGGACTGCTGTATTTTACATCTTGCTAATTATTGTCACATCGTTGTCATTTGACACCAGTTGACAACTCCAGTTGACAACACTAGTTGACAAAACCAGTTGACAACTCCAGTTGACCAAACTATACAAATTGTTTGACGACACAAGTTAACGACACCAGTTGACAACAGAAATTGACGACACCAGATGACGACACCAGGTGAAGTCATGCAACGCCAAAGTTTTCAAATTGTTGACAACACCAGTGGACAACACCAGTGGGGCTTGCAACAATTAAATCCATTATGAAACCGTCACGCCCATTTTGTAAACATTCTTCAAGAGTTTTCAGTTTTGAGTGTATTACTTCACGTAAGTTTGTCTTTATCTGCGGCACTGCAGTCATATTTTATAAATACGTTGTTACGTTGTTAGTCACGTGTGGTTCTGACTTTCATTTAAGAATTGAACGTCAGTTTGGATGGGTTCATTGAAGTGTGAATGATTTAAAAGCGCTGATTAAACTGTGTGAACCTCCGAGCTTGCAGTAGTTTACTGGTCTCGCCGAATAATATCGTAACAATGTTTGCTTAATTTGAAGTCCTCTGGTTTCGCCGAAGAACATTGCAACAATGTTATTTTGTCGGTATTTGCCAGCTCTCGGTCACAAACGTTTCACCACTCATACTCAGTAACGCAAAGAAAAATAGTTCTTTGAATATATACAACATAATGTAGAAATATGTCAACATAATTTCATTCTCTGAACAACTTTACAATCAATATTTGGTATAAATCAAATCTTAAAAATAGGTTACAGGAAGGTGATCAAAGTATAAACATGACCTCGATGCACCGATGCGAGGTCAACCTTCAAGCGCGGATTTATATATGACGTCACATAAGTTTGTAAAGAGGTGCATTTCGAGTCGAACGGGAGCATGAGGATGAAATTTATACTTACTGCTGTTGAAAATGACGTTTTTGAAGCAGTTATGGAAAACACCCGGACGCGTGAACCCTCTCATGGCACTAGCAAATTGGGAATATCACCGATTTATGAATGTGTTGCTTGTGTTTGGATAATCGCAAACGAATTCGGACGATGCGGAATGGACTGGTGGGGATTGAGTGCTCTGAAACTTGCGTGTTTTGTGGCAATTTTCAACGTCAGGGTGTGTTATATTTGGAGTTTGGGATTTGTCGTGTGTGCACTTTGCTTAGCTCTCACCTGAGATGGACCTACTGTATGACCACCTTCATGTCTGTGCCCCGTCAATCCTCATGTGCCGCCGCTTCTCGGCCTAGAATGCACGGAGGAATTCCGTCTACGGATATTTTCTCGTCTCCGACGACCAATCGATAAAACAGGTAGGCAAGTCTTGGTTGTTAGTTTTGGGTTTTTTTTAATTTAAGTTTCTTTCCTTACCTTTTTATGTTTTATAGTTTCTCAAAATCTTAGATTATTTTCCCGATACGATAGTCAATCGGGTTTTAGTTTGGGATTGATCAGGAGCAGTCGCGTTTGCTCTGTGTCAGCGGCCACATCTGAGCAGGGTACGACATTATTTTCATTATTTCCGAAAACAAGGCATCAAAGTCAGTATCGCTAAATAAATCAATTTCGTTCACCTCAGTAATTTTACAGAAGTTTGTTTCTTCACTTGCGTTATTAGTATTGAAAGATAGCCATTCCATATCCAAATCACCGCAAGGACAATCCATTTTGTTTCGTGTAGCAGCTAGACGACATCAATCACCAGAACCAAAACATTTATTGATATATATGTCAGATGAAATGTTACAAAACCAGGCAAAAATACTAAATTAATTATATTGCTGATAAATGCAGGTATAAAAAAGAAAATAGAAAAACGAGTTGATCGTAAACACCGATCGAGAATACGGGGGAAACCCCTGAAAGTAGTTCCGGCAAAAGTTCACACGATCAATTTCAAAAAAAATTGTTCACATCGTGTGAACTTTTTTTGTCCGTTCACAGGTGTTTGAACTCCAAATATCAGATCACGTGACTACCCCTTCAGCCAATCAGCAAGAAAGAAACAGTGTAAACTTCAAAGTATAAAATTATTACAAGATGTCGACCAGATACATATGGCCAGGACTGCAGGTATCAGTGCAATGAAGGATGTCAGCCTGAGAAATGCGACTCTATCGACGGTCGTTGTCGAACTTCCTGTAGATCCGGATGGACTGGAGAAAACTGTGTAGACGGTACCCTGTGTATCAGTTATTACCTTCGTTTGAAAGAAAGTTTAGTGGCATCATTTATATTTAACTGCCATGATACTAATGACGTTATGGTACTTAGTGAGTGGGTGAGTGAGTTGGGTATAATGCCGCTTTGATCAGTATTCCAGTTATATCACGGAGTGTCAGCGTCATGTCATAGGGAAGCCCACTTTGGTGAAATCCACGAGCACGGATATGGTGCCGATATCCATAGAAACATAATGAGGGCGAATTTGGATTCGAAGCAGCGATCATAGGTTTCTGGCGTGGTCTAGGGACGCAACTATCGACAACGAATTGCGGCGCCTTAGACGATTAGGCCACCCGTGCCCAAGCTCTGTTTAAAAAAAGAAACAACGTGCACAGCTAGTAGACGAAAGACCCACCATAACGCAGACATATATCCACTATGATAAAACATCATTCGCTTTTATTGATAACATATGCAAACAACAACATGTCAACAACACTTTTAGCCAAGTATACTATCGAAATATCCCGTAGGGATATTCGAAAATAACAGGATTACAGAAATACAAAGAAATATCAAGTGATGGTAATGGGTGAATAAGAAAAAAAGAAGGACTAGGTGTAACATGACAATCAACTGAACATTTTGGGGGTGTATTTTAAGGGTGCAAAACAATCAGGAAGGAAGACAGGGGTGTGTAGTCAAAACATGCTGGTTTGATAAGACTTTATCAATAACGGGTCATGCCCCCACGATTGGTTAAACATTTGTTTATACGGCATGACATGGTCCGATTCAATCTCCCAATGACTTGTCCGAGTTCGGCTAACATAACAGGTGGTCTTTGACGGCGTACAAGTCTCAGATCATGTCCCAGACGTGCTCTATTTGGAAATGTCAGGACTTATGGCAAGCCATTGATTACATTCTGGTGATTGTTTGCTGCTGGAGGTAATCAGTTACGTTATGAACACGGTGGGCACGAGCGCTGTCGTCTTGAAACACTAAACATAGACTAGCATGGCACGCAAACGGCAAAACATTGACGTCAGTGGGTTGTATCAGTTATCAGTGCCCCTTCCATGGACAATATGCAGTGGCAATCTACAGTGATCCAGCCTCGCATCATTAAAGACCTGCCGCCAAATCTGTCATGTTGCCTTACTTTGACGTTTGCTTGACGTTTGTTAGGATGCCTCAAGACTGTTTCCAGAAAGTACAGAGAAACTCTGGACTCATTTGATTTCACTCATTATTCGAGACTATCGTCGATTTCCCCAGTTCCTACACTCTAAACACCGTTGGCGTCTGGCGTTGAACAGTGATATGATTGGCTATTTGGGCTCGATTTCTTACGGTCTGTTTTCTGATTTATGGATCGTAGACTTGTGTAGTTGACCTTGAGCGCACTGAGGGGTGCAGACCATGAACATTGTGTTCCAATGTCTGTAAAACATACACTGAGACACATTGAACATGTTGGCTGCCTCTCACTGAGTTCTTCCAGTTCTACAAATTCTTAGGCGTTCATCGCTTTGTAGACGACGCATTCTCAAATCTGATCCCAAATAAAAGGAAGAATAGAGAGCTTCCGTGTTACTGTGGATAATGAAAATCAACACTACAAATGGCACTGAGCGATTTCACGACCATTCACCAAAGTGTCAAAATCAAGAATGCCCCAAAACCCACGATCACGGAGGAATTGTTTGGTCCACGTGCAACGTTTCGGTCGTGTTGGGACGTCAGAACCAAAACTTGGTGATCCCCTACTTCTTTGCTCATAATCCCCTACGTCTTTGCAGACTGTATAGTTACAGACCCATGGACAGCTATGCGTTTTACGTTCGACCTCTAAAGGTACCCCGAAAGTGACATTTGGTTTTGTGCAATGTCAGTTGGGTGGCATACATTGTCGATCCGTAGAACTCAAGTTTGTTTCCTCACCGAATGCGCCAAAATATGTCAGAAACAGAACATATTTGTGTCGTTGGTGTCTATCTATAGATACAAAGAATCTTCAGCTGAAAAGAAACATTTATTCAGTAGATATAGAATGACTACTAAAACATATTTAGTTTTGTTGACTACTCTATCAATTATATCTCTGGTTTAATATAAACTTTAAAACTTATAATTCGGGTGAACACATGACAAATATCTGGCCACCATGCTCTTAGTAAACTTCATGGAAACCATTAACTTACATGTTTACTGATACAAGTATTAGTATAATGTTTGTTTGATCAACAATGAACACATTACACATTGGATATATCAAAGTGTGTTATGGCATGGGACTGACAGCTTAGCATAAACTGCCAGTTTACAAGCTAAACAAATAAGTCTCAACTCAAATGTCTGTCTTTATTATCATCAACCAGTCTGTTCCCCGGGGTCATACGGAGAGAACTGTGTGCTGAATTGCTCAAGAGGATGTGTCAACCAGACTTGTGACAGGACCACTGGACGTTGTGACATGTGTCTGGATGGATGGGAACACAAGGACCAGAACACATCAAGATGCGACAAAGGTAATCCTTGGAGCATCTACATCGTCTGTAGTGTTGATACATACGTATACGAAGAATACAATAAATAATAAATAATAGTTTGCAAATATTCGGATTATGGTGTCAATAAGATAAGTTCAAAAGTGCAATAGGTAAGTGCAAGAAAGGGCAATAGGTAAGTGCAAAAAAGGCATTAGGTTAGTGCAAGAAGGTATTACCTGTGTCTGTTAAACTTTTTGAGTAGCTTTAATAATTCACCCAAAAATTGCATCGATATGTTGAAATTGTCAGGAGGTAAACATCCACAAACCACAATAACCCAATGAAATCCACACAATGGAAGCAACATTAAAGAACCTACACTCTAGAATCAGTGGGAGTTTCCGTCTGTGATATTAGGAGTTCGTAAAACGGGTGCATACTAACAGATTTCCAAACTGTTTCATTTTGGTTTCAGAATGTGATGATGGAAGGTACGGTGAACAGTGTAACGATGAATGCAACATCCACTGTGTCAATGCTACGTGTCATCATGTCAATGGTTCCTGTACTCATGGCTGTCTTGACGGAAGAAGTGGCAAATATTGTGAAGTTTCTGAAGGTAATTCTGTCATGGCGTAATTCAAAGTAATAAACAAAGTTATGTAAAGTAAGTTTGCAACAACTCGATCACAAACTTTACCATATATTATAGAGTTAGCTAAACGCTATAACGTGGTATGGACACAAATGCACACGTTGCACATTACTCTCTGCATGGAGGGAGGAAGGTCGGCAGTTCGTTTCCCATATCATAACTGTTATCCTTCCTTGTAAGTTGACCCGTGAAGATCCGGGACAGAATAAGTCTTCAGCAACCCATGCTTGCCCTAAAAGGCGACTATGCTTGTCGTAAGAGGCGACTAATGGGATCGGGTGGTCAGGCTCGCTGACTTATTTGAAGCGTGGATCGATGCTCATGATATCAATCACTGGATTGTCTGGTCCAGACCGCTGTCATAAAGCTGGAATATTGCTTAGTGCGGTGTAAAATAGCAAACAAACTAACCAACCTGGCCAGCTGCAGCTGGAAGGCAAGATGATGTGTCATGTTAAATCTGGTATATCAGTAGGCTAGCTATAAAATACAGAGTAGTGCATTCACTTCGCTATATAAGTGAAATAACTTGAACGCGACGTTAAACCCCATTACACTTTGCCCAGCCCACCAACTAGATCATCATGAGTTTTAAAATAATGTTCTGAAGGAAAGTGATATATACACATATGGAGTCCTTTTCTATGAGCACATGTTGCTATTATTTCACAAAGTGATTTATTTTGAAGAAGAGGCATTGCAGTCGTAGAGCTCCTCTCGCTTTGAAACCTTGCAGATAGTTTGTGCCACAGATTTGTCATGTATATGTTTTAGAACTGTTTTTTTAGACATTTCTATTTTATGAAATGTTTCTTTATATCAAGTTGCTTGGTATTTCCATTATTTCCATAATTCCTGAACACTCCAAGCCATCGTCATCATATTAACCATCATCATTACATGACTATCAATTTTGACACTATTCCTGTGACATTGTTACCTCCTCTGTTGTACCTGCACACCTATTACCTGTTACCTGTTACTATTGCAGCCGAACACCAGAATGTAAAACTCATCGCTGGACTTCTTCTCTTCCTAATTGCTGTTATAGCAGTTGTAATGTGTGCTGTTGTCTACTTTCGGTGAGATGTTGTTTTCTTCTTATTTGCATGGACTAATAATATCATTACCCCAACCACAACCAATTACAGAGATCAAACTCTAAGATGAGATATATAGAGAATACTACACTCATTCTCGTTAGATACCATTTTTACGAAACGAGTGGACTTTCTATGGTATCTGACCGAGCGAAAGCGAGGTCAGATACCATAGAAAGTTCACGAGTTTCGTAAAAATGGTATCTAACGAGAATGAGTGTGGTATTTTATTTATTACCCACGTTAAATATATATTTAAGTGTAAATACATAACAACTTTCGTTCGTTGACAGACCAAACTGAAACCGGTTGCAAAATCTGGTTGCGCATGAATATTGATATATGACCAAATATGGGCATTGTTGACATGTTTATGCATACGCATTAACAACACGCGCCTGCTGTTCTGTTTGCAAACAAACCAGCACCGACGCTCAAGATCCTTTTGGAAGAAAGTCTTCAACTTATGGTAATTCAAGCGCCATGTTGTTAGTACGCAGGACACCGATAAGAAAATTTGAAATGTCACATTAGCGCCGCGCTTTGAATATCGGACTAACAGTCGGTTACACTGCCGGGGTCCCGTCTGTGCAATCAAAATGGTTCGGTTTCCTTGATCTATCAGCTGAATTTATATCATGTCCGTTCCATTTTGGAACAGGGAAATCAGACTGTTCGCCAAAGACATTCATGTTAACTGTACCACCCTAAATACTGAAGACGTGAAAATCAACAAACTCAAATCTGCTTGCATGTCAGTGACAGCTTCGAACGATCGAAGGGCAAGGTCGCCACCGGAATAAGAAAAGACAACCGCGATCCACTCACAGCGTTTTACGCTAGAGATAGGAATGTTATTGTTCACATTTGGGATGTTTGGGGCCACAAAATCAGAAGTCAGGCACACTTCCACGGAGTTTTCGAATGATTTGTATCGGAACTGTGAACTTTAAGTGATCTGGTCGTGCTGTCGTGTTCGTTCACCCATGAACAACACCTCCCGAAACAGCGCCACAAAATACGCTTCAAAGGGGACACCGATGGCACAACCGGATCATCCCAAGTAAGTCTCGATATCTGTTCAGATAGTTTAAACAGACTTCATTTTACCACGCTTATCCTTTTACGTTAAATCAAATTGAAAGTTGCGAAATTGGTCGGGTGCGTCACGCTCAAGGGACGCGCTCGATCGGCAGTCGTACATTGTAAATCGATTTATAGATCTAGCTCGATTATATGTCTGTAGAAGCTCTATGCATAACTAATATAGAATGCAAACCGAATTTGATGCGTGTGACTATCTTGTTTGGTTTAATAAAATGTTTGTAAATATCTCTCGTTCTCATGAATTTCTTCAGTTCTGCCTTGTAATCGCAAAATGAATGACGTCTTGCGATTTTTTATGAATGAAAAAAGTAGTCCCAGTGTGACAGAGGTCACGGTTATCCAATCAAAACGAACAAAACAATGTCAACCTTGTACGACACAGGTGTGACGTACGGATTTAGTATCTTACCACCTGTATCTTCACCACGTGGGTAATAAAGATCTTTATTTGAGCAGTCGGTAGTTTTACTCTTGAATGTGATATGTGACTGAAATGTTAGTGATTTTCAGCATTGCTTTTGTTGTGTTGGTATACATTTGGTAATATTATGGACATTTCTCGCAACGAATTATTGGTGAAGAGTTTAGCAATAATCACTCACTCATTCTCAACCAATCGAACAACTTTAAGACCTCTTATAACTACCGAAAGATAGTGCAGTTATTTAGTATTGATCATTCATTTCATCAATGATTAAATCAAAACAAATGAATAGACACAAATGAATATCTGAGTTTGAAAGTAAGAATCTTGAAGAGAAATGTTCTACATATAACAACCCAAAGCTTATCTGTAAATATCTTTGTTTTTCTTTAGAGAGCCGTTGAGAAGATTAAGAGGAAAAAGTAAGATAAAGCTGAATCAACGTATATGTGTACTGTCATAAGTCACTTGCAATAGTAACTTTTGATAATTTATTCATGTCTGATTAAGTTTCAAATGGTTCTTGTTTGATTTGTTGACATGAATGTTTGGTATGGTGGTCCAGATCTATTAGCTTCACATGTAGTTGTTGGTACCGGACTATTGCTATGCTGTTTTCAGAGACTGGGGAAGACATGACCAACGGTTTGAGCTTCCCTATGGCAGCCCGGGAAGGCCAGGGTGCATCGGAAAACGGAGCCGTCTACGACGATGACGAGGCTATCTATATCAATGTTCCCAGTAGTGTTCCAGTGGCAGTCAGTGGCCTCAAGGACTTCGTTGCAAAGAAGAAAGCCACAAAAGAAATCTTGGTGAAAGAGTATGCTGTACGTATTGTGAAGGTCTTGATGGACCCATGTTGCTGAAACTTGGCTATCCTCCTTCTAAGGATCAAAGGCCTGATTTTGTTATTCGAGAGGAATTTACTAAATCTGATATGGCTCTTTGTCTACATGATGCGCGAAGCTGTTCCATTCATTTTACATTAATGTACCCTTTACATCGAGTTTTCACACTTCCTTACCAACTGCCGCTTACGTTTTAAAGAAACTGTTGTGGGTGCTACCGGTACAGCAGGACATACGTTTCCCGAACACCTGGTGTCATCACTAATTTCAGTGATCCATTCTTATATTTTTCATCACTAGTGGACCTTTTGCGCCCTATGGAATCTGTTCTGGCAGATATTCGAAACTGACGTTGCTCTGGTGTTGAATTTACAGGAGCTTCCCAAAGGTCTGACAGCTATTCACGACAAAGCACTGACGCAAGTGAACAGTCCAAAGAATCGATTTAAAGGCATTTACCCGTGTAAGGCAAAGGCTTATACCTTTCACCACATCTATCGATATTTAACGTTGACGTAAAATATAGTTATTGTACTGTGCATCCACCACAGGCATTTTATCCAGTCTAAATATATCTATTATTAATGTACAACTTCTCGTCACGATATGGCAGAAATATTGCCGATGTGACTTGGAATGTAAACTCACTCACTAATATCGTAAAACATGAGTGTGTCTGTGATATATTTGTATAAAAGTATAAATATAAAGTATGTTCATAATACTATTAAATTTTGTTTCGCCGAAACACTGGGGAACAGTACCATGTCTGATTCATTTTGTTCATTTTGTCAAACGATTTTTTCTGATTTTGGTTCGCCTTGTAGTCTTTGGTGTGTGTTTGTATGTCTTCTGAGCGGATTCATAAAGCTGTTGTGCTTCTACAAAATGTAAAAAATGACTTTTGAGGAATTGGAGTACTTATTGTAACAAGTGACTGACATCGTTGCATAGCACCCCTATACAGGTACACACTATTTTGTAAATGTACTTGTTGCATGATAACTTCCTATGATGTATCGGCGACAGGTGTCTTTTGATGCAGTTTTGTATACCTGAATGCATACATTTACTGATTAGAAAGACTTGATTTTTTTTAAGACAACCACTCTCTGGTCGTGCTGAAAGGCCCGAGTGGAAGCAGTGGCTACATAAACGCCAGCTTCATTGATGTAAGTTCAAGAGATTCAGTTACATGATATTTGGGATAAATGAAGAAGGAATTCATTAGAGACTCTGAAAGTGAACATGTCTGTGAGTTTGTCAAGCCATCCACACAGTAAACTTGATGTGTAGATCCATTACACTTTATAACCCACCAAGTGTTGAAGGAAGAATGATTCAATTAAGGTTTCTTGTTTTGCAGGGACCAACAAGGGGAAAAAAGTACATTGCAACACAGGGTAAACAAACTTTTAGACGTCAAAGTCTGCAAACGTTCATATGCCTTATGTACGACCAACCTTCAATAAATAATTAACAATACTGAGCGCAGTGAAGTATACTGATATTCAACCCATGAGATGGTGAGGTGAGGTGAGGTGAAATTTGGTTTAACGTCGCGTCCAAGATAATTGCACTTATATAGAGACGTCGTTCGGGACTTACAATAATTCTGACACTTCTTTCGTAAAATCAGTATGGGGGCGGTCGGGTAGACTAATCGTTAAAGCGTTCGCTCGTCACGCCGAAGACCCGGTTCGATTCCGATCAGTAAAATGAGTGAAGCCCTTTTCTCGTGCCCCCTGCCGTGATATTGCTGGAAAAGTGCTTAAAGCGGCTAAAAACATACTGACTCACTCACTCACTTTTCTCGTATAATAATGTATATATATCTATGTTACCATATGGCCATCTCATTGGAACCACCTCTTTGGTCTAGTGGTAGAGCGTTCGCCCGGAGAGCGGAAGGTCCGGGGTTCGATCCCCGGTCGCGTCATACCAAAAGACGTTAAAAGATGTTGTTACCCTGTCTGGCGCTCGGCATTAAGGGTTTTAAACAAGACTGGTCGGCTCGGGGTCAGTATACTGTGTCTGAGTGGGGTATTCATGTTAAACTGCGGCATGGTATCTCAGTGTGCTAGCACTATAAATCTGCATCAGTCCGGACTAGTACAAGGAGCCACACACACATGCACACACACACATGCACACACACACACACGTGCATACACGTCGCTATAAGTGCAATAATCTTGGACACCCCATATGGACATACGTTAAACCCCATATCACCTCACCTTATTCCACCCCTAATGAAGTCATGTTTTCTCAACTATCCCTTGTGGCGCCAGGGCCCCTGCCTCACACCGTCGTGGACTTCTGGGAGATGATCTGGCAACAAAACGTGCCTGTCATCGTCATGCTGGCCAATATCATTGAAGATGGAAGGGTGATGTCTAATTTTAATATGACTTGATGACCTTATGATGTGATAAATGAATTAATCATCATTTAATATACTCAACATGCTACTCTTTGTAATCATTATGCTTATCCAAATATACACAGCCTTTTAAAACTGAAATGAAATAAATGTAGAGCAGAACATGCATATCCTTTTCGTAGACACCTTGTGTCATCACTTATTTTCAGTGATTAGTTCATATACTTTTCATCACTATTTCTTTTCTTCTATGGCCCATGGAACTGTTTTGGTAGATATTCGAGTCCGGTGTTGATGTTTTTAAATTTACCATCTACGAATGTCCCTTGTACAACAGAGACGGTGTGAGCCGTACTGGCCCAATGAACCAGGCGAGGATTCCAAGACGTTCGGCCCCTGGAAGATCACAGTAGCTGACTCCTGTCCCCTTGCTGACTTCACCATCAGAACGCTCAAGATGAGGAAGGTGGGATTGACAATTTCAATTAGTTATTAAAGCGAAGGTAGTGAATTAGTCCATGACCGTTCCTTCCAGTTTTACCGCTCCGTGGTGCAGCGAATAGAGCGTCTGCCCGGAGATGTCGGTTGTTCGATCCCCGGCCGCGTCATTCCAAAAGACGTTAAAAGATGGTACGTGGTATTACCCTGTCTGGCGATCGGCATTAAGGGGCTAAAATAAGGACTGGTCGGCTTGGAGTAAGTGCACTGTGTCTGAGCGGGGAATCAATGTTACACTGTACCACGGTATCTTGGTGGACTCAGTGGACTCAGTGGACAAACACTCGTTGCGACATAAGTGCAATAGTGACCGCCACGTTAACCTCCAATATACCTCACATCCTTCCAGTTGTTGTTTGGGTATGGATAGACTATGTACCGAAGCCCTCCATTAATTTTGACCAAGGACCCTACAAAAACAATTGGCGGTCTAGTTTGGCAATTGTCACACTTCTGAGAACTAATAGTCCCTGCTGACAACTATTGCCGACATATAGAGAGTGATTGATATTTGTTTAGGTTTAAGCTAGACCTATATGCATAAGCATATCTTCCACAGGGAGCGACGGAGAAGACCGTGAAACATGTTCACTACATGGTGTGGCCTGACAAGGATGTGCCAGACAACACCATGTCTCTGGTGGACCTCAGGAACAAAGTCAGGACCTTCTGTGACTTTGCGGAAGGTCCCATGGTGGTACACTGCAGGTACAGCCACAAGTGGAGTGCAGTGCAGTGAGTGAGTGAGTGAGTGAGTTAAAATCTAACGTCACATCGGCAAAATTCCAACCATACCGTGACGGGAAAAAGTGATGCATCATTAATAAATACGTTAAGACTGAATGAAACCTGTCGTCGGTGGGGGCGGTGGTTAGCCAAGTGGTTAAAGCGATCGCTCGTCATGCTTAAGGGTCGCGGTCGATTCCCCACATGGGTACACTGTGTGAAGCCCATTTCTGGTATCCCCCACCGTGATATTGCTGGAATATTGCTTAAAGCGGCATAAAACCAGACTCACTCACTCACTGTCGTCGATGGACAGTACAGTTACTAGATTATATTTATAACTAGTTTGAGAGTGTCTAAATGTATAAAATTTTATTCAACAACGCATCAAGAAAACCAGCTAGAAAAACGGAAGCCAGCAAAACCAAAGTAATAGAACGGAGTGTATAGAAGAGTGTGCAACGGGATGTTGTCAATAACACAGGCTTGGATATGTTCCAGTGCCATGTTCATGACCCAACATTTGTGATGTATGTGTTCATACAGCGTCATTGAACTGTGATTGCATGTATTCTTTAAAACGGTTTGTCAGATAAAGTACTTTTCAATATTAGTACAGACACGAAAGGATCCTGGTTAGAATAGGTCTTCTTCGGGCTCGCTGACTTGGTTGATGCATGTCATCGCATCTCAATTGCGTGGATCGATGCTCATGATATCAATCACTGGATTGTCTGGTTCAGACTCTATTATTTACAGATCGCCGTCTTTGCTTAGTGCGGCGTTAAACAACAAACAATCAATACCAGTACAGCTGACAGAGAATACCACGTTGTGTCTGTCCACATGCAATACTGACTTATGTGTCGTGTATGTATAAATAGCCAAATGCCCTTAACCTTCTACATAGACCACCCGGGGTATCTTTTTGTATATTAATGAGTATATATCAATACCAGCTAGCTGTAAATAGGCGTGGTAATGTTTTGTCGTGGTTATAACTTCTTTGTTCCCTGTCCAGTGCTGGCGTAGGCAGGACAGGAACTTTGATTGCTCTGGACTCTCTGATAGAAGACGCAGAGACCCGCAGCAAGGTGGACATCTACGGCTGTGTCTGGCGGCTGAGGAACTTCAGAGTCAGCATGGTGCAGACACAGGTCAGTAGATACAGGGAAGCCTCATCAGGAAGGGGAACAAGGGTTTTTAGACATACAAGGCAAAGTATAAAACAACATCTCAACAACTGTATTTGTCTGAAATCAGGATCGTGTCATCAATGGTACTGCAGTGATGTTAATGTGAAACAATTTGAGATAGTAGTTTTGGGGGAAATCAGACGTATCAGATCAGGCAGGGTATGAGAGTTAATGAGTGATCGAGGTTAAACGTCACTTTTAATATAATTTTGTCCTAAGATAGGTTGTTGAATGCCAGAGGAACGCAGGTGTAAGTCGTTTACTTTGATGATGCTAACGATCATTGGAATGGTGTTGAGAGAATGGTCAATATAGGATTGAATACGATTTGTGTGTTTCTGAGCAGCTAAGATATGAAATTCTGCACAGTAAATCTCTGCAAGAAGTTTTATTGTGCGAGGTTTTGCTGTTTGTTTAGATGTCAGAGTTTACTTTAAGGCGTCTTTTTAAATATTCGGATAATTAATTTTTTTATGTTTACACACGTGACTTTAATGTCATATGGTTTGCATATATCCCATAGTCCCAGTATGTGTTCCTGCACGACTGCATCCTGGACGCTCTGTGTCATACAGTGCACCCCACACCCGCCAGTTTCTATGACAACGCGTATAAACAGCTGAAGAGAGACTCTGGCATTGCTGTTGCCTATCAGGTGAGTGCTGTGTGCCTCAAGTTAACCTTGAAATGATGCAATGGTTGTGCATAAACATGTGATAACATTGTGTGAACTTGCATGATTATGTGTTATATCCCCAATACTCAGAGCATTGCTCCTGATATCAAATGTTTCTGTTTGGTATTAGTGCTGGGTGTGCATTAACTACTTTCACATGTTCGCTCCAGAAACTCAGCGAGTGTCCTGAGACAGATCATCTAAGTGACGCTGCCAGAGACCTGGAGAACATCAACAGAAACAGGAGCGAGGACATTCTTCCTGGTAGGTTTCGTCGTGCCAGACTCATGGCGGGATAGGGTAAGACTGGAATCTCGCTATACCATCCAGTCACATCGGTAACCTATAGCTAAATAGGTACCGCATGAAGAGGTACTTTGATGGACTTCTTTGATGGAGTCGGTTGCTAATTAATTTTCTACATAATCCTTTCCATGGTTCACACACTTTTGTCAATGATGCCAGAGTGACAGGATCCAACTGGTGTAGAAGGCTTCCTCCTGGAATTGTAAAATGCCCTACGGAGCCGAAATGGAGTAATGATTGTTTGCCAAACAGTGCTAAATGAGGTGAATACAGAGGATGTTCAAAACGTTCGAAACCACAGTCATACATTGCGCCATGACGACCACAAACTTGTGCACAGGTGCACTGTCCTTTTAGTCTTTATATTCTCACGCAATTGCTTTAGCAGATAAGAATAATATTCACGGGAGATAGTCCACCATTCGGATTTCTTCAGAATCCCAGAAGACCCGAGCCATCACGTTGCCTGTTGATGATACAGGCTTTGCCTTCTTATCAGGAGTTGGCGTTAGCAATGTCTAGATTATTCCTCAGACGATTCTTGATAACAGTTTTGTCAACAGAAAATATCTAGTCATTTTGATGAGTGCATAAATATGCTACTTTGTTGTATATTTGGTTCACATAAAGCCTGTAAGAATGAAACGTATTGTACATGCAAAATGTTAAGTGTGTATTCTACGTCCTTCTAAGTTCGGCTCACATACTTTTCAGGCTGGTATTCTACTGTAAGCATGCCTTGTCACCTCTTATGGTGTCGGGACAAACAACTACATGTTATGTCGATGCAAAAAGGACGAGACACAAGGAGTATGAAGGCCCAAGTATGAAAAGGTTTAATATGAAAAGTACTGTCCATCTTTAAGTGTACCTCTTTTATTACAGGAGACAAGCATCGCGCTATTCTCTCAACCCATATTGCAGGAGGCACTGACTACATCAACGCCGTCATCGCACCGGTAATTGTCCCCAACATGTATCACATGTTCTTTAAACGTTTATTCAATATGATAAATATTTATTTGATATATGTTGTCATAGAAATTATGAACAATTTGGATCCTTTCATATTTTCTTAGCCAGTATTTCCGTTATCAAATTTTATTGATATTGTTATTTCTTATACATATCCCAATATTATTCATATTTCAGTCGTATGAGAAGCGGGAGGCTTTTATCCTCACTCAAATCCCCCTGACGTCGACGGTGGTTGACTTCTGGCGACTGGTCCACGACTACGACATCCGTGGCATTGTCCTGCTGGAGAACTACACCGACTTGGACGCAGTGAGTCTCGGCGTCAGGGTGTAAAACAATAACACAATACAATTTGAATACAACCTGATAATATTGTGTTTGATAGGCATTACTTAGAAGTTGACGGGTGACAAGGTAGACACAGATTTATGGATAACAACTTAACAGTATTAAAGAAGTTGTTTTCATAAAATTGTGTCTACCTTGTAACCTGATAATAAAATCCAATTTCTAATCTGAAGGAAGGACATAAACACTTTTAAGCAAATAATGTTTTACCTTTTCAATATACACGTGAAATGTTTTACGTGTGAGTCACTTAGAAATCGTGACATAAATATATCTTATTTGTTTTAGTTTATTACCAACAATTATCCATTTTTTTTTATGTTATGAAATCAGAAGTGTGGCGTGTTCTGGGCCAAGGACAACAAGCCGGCCAAGTTTGGCCCCTTCAGCGTAGGTGAAGGCAAGACTGAGAAACAGACCGGCTTTACCATGGAGAAGATCTCCTACAGTCTGGGGGTAGGTATAAAGGACACTGATGGCTTTCGCACGTACACATGTGAAAGTATTATTCATAGATGAGGCATTGCCGCTTGTGAGTATTATTAGAGTGAGTGAGTGAGTATGGTTTTACGCCGCTTTTAGCAATATTCCAGCAATATCACGGCGGGGGACACCAGAAATGAGCTTCACACATTGTACCCATGTCGGGAATCGAACCCGGGTCTTCGGCGTGACGAGCGAACGCTTTAACCACTAGGCTACCCGACCGCCCCGTATTATTAGAGAGATGTACCACTAGAGTTATAGAATGGTACTCATTCACGATCACAGATGACCAAGGAGTCTCTTATACACAAGGAGGTGGGTTATATTTCATTACATTATAGTGGGACGTGATATATCAAGATAGTATATATACTAGGATGTGGGTTATATTTCATTAAATTGTGGTGGGACGTGATATATCAAGGTAGTATATATACCAGGAGGTGGTTTATATTTCATTACATAGTAGTGGGACGTGATATATCAAGGTAGTATATATACTAGGAGGTGGGTTATATTTCATTATATTGTTGTGGGAAGTGATATATCAAGGTAGTATATCTATTAGGAGATGGGTTATATTTCACTACATTGTCGTGGGAAGTGATATATATCAAGATATCAAGAGGTTGGTCACATGACCGCGAAATTGACGTTAATAAGTGTATGAACGACACAATTTGACGTTCATACGTTTTTCACGAGACCGTGTTCTTGAATGGCGTAAACACTGACGGACTACTTCCACTTTCCTGGGGAAACCAGCATGAAAACATACATAAGCGTTTTTTCTGATCACTTGTAACCTTTATTCTTGTTCTCAGCGTTTCAGTATACATTGAGAAATGTCAGAGAACTTGATACCTTGATTGTTCACGAATAACCGCCTAATGCCAATCCTAATGAATGAGTAAGTGAGTTTTATATGCCGCTTTTAGCAATATTCCAGCAATATCACGGCGGGGGACCCCAGAAATGGGCTTCACACATTGTACCCATGTCGGGAATCGAACCCGGGTCTTCGGCGTGACGAGCGAACGCTTTAACCACCAGGCTACCCGACCGCCCCCAATCCTAATGACCAAGCAAAGAAATGCACATCCAAACTATCGTAGTATCGGCTCGATCCGTGTCTGGCTGACAGTGACAGTGTCAGTTAGACGCATCTTTAATCACCTTTCAATGATCGGCCAGTTGATCAATGATGACGTCGACTAACACATGTAACCGCCACAGGTTCATTAACAACTTCGGAAATCTCTCCCGTCACGATTATCATGTCGGCCATTTTGAAGTCATGTACTTGACGTAAATGTCTTACGACGCGCTCCGACGTTCATACAGTTTGGCCCTCACTCTATGAAGGTTCATGCTCTAATGAACTAACACAAAGTGAAGGTCAATTCTTAATTTCATTGTAGTGGGAAGTGATATATCAAGGTAGTAAATATACTAGGAGTTGGGTTATATTTCACTACATTGTGGTGGGAAGTGATATATCAAGGTAGTACATATACTAGGAGGTGGGTTATATTTCACTACATTGTAGTGGGAAGTGATATATCAAGATATAGATGATATCAGTAAGGGATCAGAAACACTTCTGTTAATCTCGGGAAGGTTCGGTCGTCTCATGGTTGAAGCGTTGAATTGTCAGACTGATGACACGGGTACGATTCCCCTCATGGTGTTATGGCGTCAGCAACAGTGACATGGTTTAGATAGTGCTAAATACGGCGTAAGCTATTCAGCTATAGCTGCAAAAAACAGATATTGTTTTAATTAAAACTACGAGCCAAAATATTTGTGTCCTTGTGGAAGACAATTTATTTTTTCAACAATATGAAGCATATTATTTTCTTTCAAGAACTTAAGAGGACAATATATGTTTTTTGATACAATCACAGGGCCCCTCCGCAGAATATCAAATGGTCGGACACTAAAACAATGTCTCCAGTTCACACTGAATCACACTACATTTGTCAACCATACGGGATATTAGATACATGTTATACATTAGTGTTGTGTGTGAATTGATAATGAGGGCATACTGTTTCTGTTCAAGCTTTATAGTTGCTTGCTCTCATATGCATAAGTAATCCTATGATGAGAATAGTATATTGGCATCACTGTGACATGCCCAAACTACTAGTATTACACTTTCACTGTATCATTGTAAACGACGCGAGCCACAGCGCACGGTTTGTCTGGGGATATATTGTGTATGCAATTTGGAAACGTATAATGGAAAATGTATTAAGCGATATATCGCATCGAACAATGAAGAACGAAGCGTGGTTTATGTAGAAGGGAATGTTCAAGTAACTCTCCATTCCTTGAAAAAATAATCGACCATTATCTTAAGGAATGGAGAGTTACGAGGATATTCCTCTCCCTAAAACTCATTACACTTTCATAAAATATTCTGTTGTGGAAAATATTTGAAAAATAAACCAGAATGCTTTGTTGTCTGTATTTATACTGCGTGAGTCGCCCTTGCGTGATGCACGAAGAATGCGTTCTCTAGCGCTGTTGCACGTGCGCCAAGCTTCGTCGCGAGCTGACATTTACAATGCATGGTACACGGCTTTTCATAATTTTGTTGGGTCCTAAACTAGTATTTATCGATTGCTTGCATATTGTCAATACATGCTGACGGGAATAATAGGAAATATAGAGCCCCGAACAAGGATATATATATTACCTGTTTTGTATTTCTCGTCAAAGGTTTATCTTATTACTGTAAATATGAACACTGTTGTAGGTAGCCTGCTCTAACACAATATTATATACATATTATTTTGAGCTTTTTAGCAGTTTGCAAAATTATGAAAATATTTAATAGTTAATTTCACACGATTCCTTCATGTGCCACCGCAGCTGAGGTTGAAAATTACACGATATCAGATCAAACGACGCGGGTTCGAATCCCACTGGGGAAACATGTTTTCGGAAAGAAATTGAAATAATTTACTGTTCTGTCCTAAGTGGAAATTAATTCGAATTTTGGTTCAAGAATAATGTATAGTTGACAAACAACTCTCCATTCCCGAAAAGTAATGGAGCGTTCAAACAATAGAATTACGTCACAGATGTGTTTTAATTCGCGATAAAACATTGTTCTATCATGACGTCATTTCTGGAGATTCGAATATGCGCTCGCAACAAGATAACGTCATATATTGGACGACGTTATTTTTAGTGGGTTCCAAGTGACTAGTAAGTTGTTCCCCATATATGTAGCTGGTCTACGCAGATAAACACGTAAAGCGGGAGAGATATAACAATCGGTATTGGGAGAAAAGGTACAGATAATCGACGTGAGAACTACCCAACTTAACCCACCTGTTCGTAAAATAGACTTGACCGACATGTCCGAATTATATTTGGGGAGTCATCATTATTAAAATTTGGGTAAATATTTTTAAAGCTTGTACAATTTATCGTCACCCTTAAAGAAGTTGTACCTGGTGTTGATATCTCATATAACAAATATATGACTCGTGGTCATTGTTTATCGTACAATAAAACCTTGCAGGGAGATTAATCCACTCGACGTTGCATCCCTCATGGCTTATTCACCCTGCAGTGTTTTATTGTAAGATAAACAACTCCCACTCGTGGGTTTTTTCCTAAATATAGTTCATGTGTGGAATGCTAAGTGGAACATTAACACTGCCACTTGAACATAGCTATTGTCTACATTAACGAGACAATAAAATCTCCAAGTACAAAATATAATTATTTTGTCAAGTATTTCATAATGTATATTAACGATGATGAATGACAGATGCTGAAATTACAGAATATTATCACGTGACAAGGATATCCACAAGGAATATGACGGTTTCAAATCAACAAGGAAGCATGTCTCGGACTGATGAAACTGAAACGCGGTGATTGTCGTGTCAACAATAATATACATCCTTGTGCAATTAAGTATACATGACTTACTGATTAATCGAGACTCTTTTTTTTGTGTGGTATATTTACAAGTAGGTACAGAAATTCTACACCAATTCAACAAGGAAGCTTATGCGATGGATGGTAGTAACTGATCGGTCGTGCCGATATTAAAGAGGAAACTTGGTTTGGTGATGGAGGATAGTAATGTGAACCAAGCTTGTACAATTTCACAACCAACACGCAAACACACACACATGCTGTGTTGATCACGTTGTTCCTGCTATGTGTTCCTTGTTCCCGTGTAAACTTGATCATGTTCTACATTCCCATGTAGAACACTGTAGCCAACAAAGCATTATGTTCACTAGATGTTAGCCGGTCTGATGACGTGCGGTGATCAGATGTATTTTGTCTGTCGACACTAGTGTTACTTTCATGTTAATCTGATAAACCGGTTTATGTTCATAGATGTCACTTTCTATTTGATTATGTATTTAGTATTTAATGCAGTTGCAGTCTAGTGATATAGACGTGTGAAATACTAAACTCGAAAAGGCGGTGACATGTCCGTGACAATCTTCTAATTACATGCGAAAACATCATATACCATAACACTGGAATGCTGAATGACACATGTACAACTTTGTAGAGACAAACATTCTGTTTTTGTACACGTTTCTCATTACCATAATGCTAATATGTCCTCACACATATATTTCAGTGTAACATTAAGCGTCTGGTTGCTTCTAAGTAGCTATATCCATGAGGGCTTTTGTTTCTATTTTGACCTCGGCGGTAACTTATAACTGGCATATGATGAGTGTGTGTTTGTTGTTAAACGCCCAACCCCAACTTATATGTATGTGGACAAGACACAAATCAGTGGTTGGTATTATGAGCAGATCTGAAGGGCTTTTGTTTCTATTTTGACCTTGGCGGTAACTTATAAGTTGCGTATGATGATTGTGTGTTTGTTGTTTTACGTCTAACACCAACTTATATTTATGTGGACAAGACACAAATCGGTGATTGCTATTATGAGCAACGTCCGTCGTACGACAACACGCAAACCACGTAGCAAACACATGCACGCACGCACGCACGCACGCACGCACGCACACGCACGCACGCTCGCAAGCACGCGCACACAGCAAAAACATTGAAAAACACAATTCACGGAGCCTGGTCGCTAGATATATTTGGCAGCCTTGTACATATTTCAACCTGGAATTACGTATGAACACTAACACGCACGCACGCACGCATGCACGCACGCACACAGGGGGAAAAAGTAAAAAGTAGAGACTGGCTTATCAAACTATACTGTATTCCTTTTTTGTAATGAGATGAGCACGGAATGGGATGTGTCCCCATGTGATTTCAATGTGCGAGCTCGCCGATGGTTTGTCATCACTGCGTGGGACGTTGTTCTTGATCTCTATCACTGGTGTACCTTGCTAGGGACTCTATTATATACAGACCACCGTCACAAAGCAGGAATGCGTGTATTACTGACCCCAGCGCGCATCAACTGACTATCCCACTTAGATCAATATGGGTTTGTTTCTTCACGCAGACCGAAGAAAAAGACGTAACTGTGTTCCGGTCTTCCGCCTGGCCTCAGAAGAGTTCACTTCCGGAATCCCCATCTAGCCTCCTGAGCTTAATCGACTTTCTCAGACAGTGGAACACCGGGACATCACCCCTCCTAGTTGTCTGCAGGTACTTATAGGCTACACATTCATCCGCAACAGCATTCTATATCTCCTTTTGTTTTCAGTCATCACCTGGCGTATATTATAACTGACATGGTACCTTCTTCTGTTGCAGCGACGGTGCCACCCGAAGCGGTCTGTTCTGTGTAGTGGCCAGTGCAGTGCAGCGACTGCTGTTAGAGAAAGAAGTTGCCCTCCAGCAGACGATACGCAGCATACGTTTTGTCAGAAAACAGGTTATTCCTAACCGGGTATGGTGTTGCGTTCATTCAACAAGTTTATTAAGATAATCAATTATAGATTACTATTTGGATCATATACATTGACACACATGGACATTTTTTCGAGTTACCCGTGGTTCGAGACAGGCGTAGTGGCGATGTGGACTTTTTGTACTCATGCATATTCTGCCAGAACCACAAAGTTGTATCGTCAAGTTAACATTTGTCATCACCATTCCCCTTCTGATGTATTTTTGTCACCAGTGGGGTATACTTCTAAGACACTTAATTCTTGCTTTCCGAAAGCAAACACTCCGGTTAAACTGAAATACTATATACAGGGGCGTTAAATTAAATTCAATTGATGACGAAGTATGTATCATCGTGACCTTAGATATTCATGTATTCTCCCTGAGTGGTTGGTTCCGCTCTCATGTCCAAATCAGACACAGCAGTCAATGGTCATTTGAGAACAACTGCGGGAACACTTACAGATGCACCGGCGGAGGTTTGCAATCAGACCCAACCTTGAGAGCTTCAAGAAGATGTTTCCGAATATAGACATATGGTCATGTCGTTCAAACTGTTGACAGTACATTAAACTATCACGTCTGACAACACAGTAATACAAAACTTTGTGTACATTAACCTGAATGTAATCATAAATAATCAGTTACAGTGACCTTGGTTTCGAAGTTATGACTGTTTGTTTTTAATATAATTTCAGGAACAATTTGAATTCTGCTTTGACTCTGTGAAGGTCTACATGGACAGTTCCCAGGAATATTCAAACTTTGCTTGAGAAGAATATTTTATTGAGTTCAGTTAACTTTATCTTTGTGTTTTTCTTTTTTACGTTGTTATAATTCCACTATGTTATTCTTGTTTTTTTTCATTTATTGAAAATATGAATACAATTTTTGTGTTATTTCAAATGATTTCAAGTCCACTCTGTGAGAATTGTTTACGTGAAATAATCTGAATACTATCTCAGAAGCTTTAAAGATACATACATGTAACTGACATATTTATTTTCAGATTGGTCTCGTCAATGTGAATACTTTTGTGAGAGTACGTTTGGTTTGTTCTTAAATATTATTGTCCAAGACTATTGGTTTTGTTACCACACAGTGCGACGTAGATTAAGCTTAGATAAAATCAAGATATGTTTACAAAAGGGTATGACGATATATATTTTCCTGAATGCCTCGTATTGTCAGGCTGATATCAACTTGTCAGTATTTTCAGTTACTTTGATTATTTGTTTTTGATTCATTTTATATAAATTACTGTTTCATTTTTGTTTAATAGCTTTCCTCCTTGGATTATAATTTACGTGCAAACGCGGGATATCCTCGTAACAGTTATTTCTATTGTTAAAAAGTGACTCATCAAATAATAAAAAAAACTCAAATGTCTGATTGGTTTAGAAGGTTTGCGTTTCCTTAATGCTGCTTTCAGGTAGATTTCCCGTTTATTGTTCCTGGTTTAGGGACAGTCTTTCCATGTTTTTGTTCCTGCTTAAATGTATATGTAAATTTAGATTTTTCACTTGCATGTCGGCTGTTGTTTAGAGTCCACTTTAGGCGTATATATCGATGAGCAAAGTCATCTGGAAAGTGTGAATTAAATTAAAGCCCATTTATGACTCTATTTTTAAACGATCCATTATTTTCCATAAATGGATAGTTGGGGGTATATAATGTGCACTTGGAATTAACTGAACTATTTCGTATTTTGACAATCAAGTGAATGATTCCAATCTTTGTCCGAAGCTCGTGTCGCCAGCGGGTTCGAACCTGCATCCTATAATTTGAGGACGTGTAATAGTCAACCTCGGCTTCGGCGATACATGACAGAACGTTGTTAAAATAACTATTACATATTTTTATTTTGTATAAAATGTAAAGGCTTAATGAATTATATGTACAATGTTGTGTATGTAATGTTACCTATAACAATGTTCATACTGAAGTTTAGACAATCCTCTGATAAAAAAAAAAAAAACTTCTAAAAACCAGAAGCTTATGTGTGCTCTACATTTCCTATTGCCCTTATCAACATGTACTAAAAACGTACAACCGATGGATAAAAAACTTGCTTAGGTCCCCGTGAAATGGCTAAGCGCCTTGTACCATGTATTGCAAAAGTTCAACACTCGGTGGAGCCTGGCGCAAGTAGGGATGTAATGAAAGTCTGAGAAAGTAGGGATGTGTTTTAAGCCCCAGAACAAACAAGTAACAGTTAACAGTTACTTGAACAAATACAATTGAAACAGAAAATTAAACTTAAGAGGTATGATCAGTAGGGTTTTGCAGTGATTCCGTTTTAACTGTGTTGTTCAACTTGTTTTTCATTTATTGTATTTGTTTATGTTGTAATATAATCAAAATACTTCATTTTAATATTCTCCTGATTAAATATCCTATTAATACTTTAATGCCGCTGTCGGTCTGGAAAACCCGACTCACACAATCTCATACAGTCGCCTCAGAAATACCATGTTTGATTCTAATTCAACAGAATTATATGTGCGGAACACAAAGTTATGAAAATACACAAAATAAATGAAAGATCAACATTAGAAATTGTTTAGCATTGTTCATTAACATGTTTTTATGTATGCGAACTAGACACTCACCAGCGTGAACAAGCTTGTAGCATGGACGTTGACATTAAACAGTCAATAGGACAGAACGTTCGTGAATGTCCCGACCTGTTCAGGTGATTAGAGGGAAAGGTTAACGACACAAGCGAGGTCTAGATGTCAGCACAACACCTGACATGTATTTTCAGTTATATTGCATGTGTTGTTTCAGAATATTCTATATTTTTTATTATTTTTGTTATTTTTATTCTTATTATTTGAAAACTTATATTTTTTCTATTTCTAATAAATAAAAGCATCCTAATTATGACAAGTTGTGCGTCTTTCTTTTCAAGTCGGCCTTTACAAGAATTGGTTTTGTACCACATGTTCCCGTTTTTTCAGGTGAACAATTGGCTTGCCTTTGCATTTGTTTGTGACGGGTGAAACCTTTTTGTGAACACCTGGTATTATCACTATTTGATAGTGATTCATAAACACATGCTATTGATATAGTCGGAAGCTTTTGGCAAAGATTTCTTATGAATATGGACAGGGTTTTGTCGCTTTCATGCATACTGAAAACACTGAAGAAGGACGACACTGCGAGTGAGGATTATGGGTGAGGTCCCCAGCATCCCCATCTTCCCGAGTCAAGGGAGTTAACTGACTTTAAAAGTGCAGTTTCCACCCTTGCCGAACTAGCCTGGAATTCCTGGGCTCGATCGTAGCGCCACCAGTGGCTATTACCAATTATATCCCGTCTAAGCCTCTCCTATTGACCAATCAGATTCCACCTCTCGTACCACTTGCATTTGCTTCAAACAAAATGGCGCCGCCAAGTCAGGACCATCTGCTCGACAATCAAGATCTATATTGTGATAAAACGGGTCTTACATCGCGAAATACATCAAATCACGCGAGCGCCTTGATTAAACACATGAAAAGATTTTGAAGATATCTGTTGACAGCGAATTGGCGGTGCAGATGCTTTGCAAATCCTGCAATCGACCGAAATCTGCATGACAGTTTACGAACCGGATTTCGATTTCCTTGCGCGATTTTGATTGGACTATGCATAGACTCGTTAGTCCAGCCAAATTGTAACTCCATAATACCAGCCTTGTTCGGCAAGGGTGGAAACTGGACTTTTATAGTCAGTTAACTCACTTGCCTCGGGAAGATGCAGCATCCCACGCCCCATGCTCGTCGTAAGAACTGACCGAAGAAAATCTGGTGGTAGCGCTCGGTGATTAAGCTCAGGTGGTGCGGCTTAGTCATTAAGACCGGGTGTCATCGTACCCGAATTGCGTGGATCGTTGCTCATGCTGTCAGTCACTGTTTTTTCTGAATCAGATTCGATTATTTACTGCCTGCCATTATACACCTGGGATGTTTATGACTGTGACGTAAAAACACATTCACTCACTTTAATTTGAATTCAATTCAGGGGCGGTGGGGTAGCTTAGTGGTTAAAGGCTCCGATCCTCACCGCGAAAGCCAAAGTTCGATTCCACAAATGGATACAACTTCTGAATTCTATTTCTGGTGTTCCCCGCCGTGATATTGCTGGATCATTGCTGGGTTTGTTTCTCCTCGTATAACGACAGCCACTGTGTCCCGGTCTTCCCTAAGAGGGCGGATATCCGTTTCGTATATTTTACCCCCTTAAAACATGATCTAAACGAGAAATGTGAGTCATATTAACAACGAAATTGTGCATTGTATTTACATGAGTTTACATCTGTATCCACGGTAACGTAAATATGAAGCAATCATGCAAGGCCTGGGGAAATGTGCCTGATGTGTTCTAATTGAATTAATCAAACGCCGTGCTATACAGCCTTGTTTATATTCCGTAGGGGGCACGGATAATTTACTGATACAGAACCCTCCTATCAATAATGAAACACGTTGATGGCTTTGATGAATTGGTGTTGTCTTAATAGTAATGATATATACAAGGAGAAACCTCCGGCATGTTATCAGTGGATCACCTGGTGCCATTGCCCCAACAGAAGGCACTAGATAATCGATTACTGTAGAAAATGTGGAGTATTCGTTGTTGGACGTCATCATGACTTAAAGTCTAGTTTATTCCATTTATTTCGTCTCGGTACCATTCCAACTGAATTTCAAATGTCTTGTCTGTATGTTATATTTGATGGTACAAAAGGTGAATTTAAAATAGTCTAGCCACGGAGATTAACGCATAGTTTGCGAGTGAGGGTTTAACGTCGCCTTGAAGGATATTTCAGTATATATCACAGCGTGTCATGTTGGTGTGAGAGGAAAGGTCTTAGACGTTTTTTTCACTTTGGTGAAACCCACGAGCACGGGTATGGTGCTGACAAACTTAAAAACATGATCAGGGAGAATGTGGGATTCGAACCCACTATTTCAGGTTTTTGGCACGCCGAAGGGAAGAAATTCTCCACAGCGAACAGCTGTGCCTAAGACGACTGGGATTTCGGAGGCCAAAAGTACAAGTGAAAGTATAATAACACATACATAGTATGTGTTCATATTGTTTTGGGGAGTATAGCGATCTTACGCAATACTTCAATGAGAAAAACATGTTGAACTGTGTTACTAAGTGTATTTGTTTGTCAGGATGCGTTGTCTGAAATTCAAACGTGTACATAACCGACCATAACAAAACGACGCTACAAAGTTTGAAATGACCATGCCTTTATAATTAAGATCGATGGAGCAGTAACGAACAAGGCAAAGAGAACGCTCAAGTACAACACATTACGAGTAAAACATGAAGTAACTTCCTGATATAACCCTGTTTGTAGGTGCTAATAGATTCACTGACCAACCTCGTATGCCAATACATGTGGTACTGCATCATATCAAAGTGCCATCTAAGTTCTTAGGGTGTAACGTATCTGACTGTTATATGAATGTTGAACATGCGGATGGGGAGTTCTCGGGGTCAGTCATTAACATTGATATATGGTCCTGTGTTATCTGAACCTTCACATAAAGATTCTTGACACCAGAGGGAGACGTGTTATGCCGTAATGGTACCAAGGGCGGATCCAGAATTGTTAAAAGAGAGGGGTCGAAAATATCAAAATGCTCTCTCAATTGGAGTGGGGTGTGTGGGGTAGGCTGGATTGTCTAAAACAAATTACATTTGGTTTTCAAAAGGGGGGCTCTGGATCATGGGGAATTGTAGCCAACTCGCCCTGCAACGCAAAAGCCAACTGCTGCGTAGCCGTCTGGATCTGGAGGGACAGGGGAGAACATCAACGTTGTTGTTGTTGTTGTGTAGACAGGATCTTGTGATCCGTGCTGTATGTGGTCGAGCGTTTTCCTGCTGGAATACACCGTTGCCGTTGGCTGCAATTGGGAGAACGTGTGGTGGTCGAATTTCGTTAATGTATCGTTGAGCCGTAAGATTGCCCTGGATATGGACCAAACCTGTCCTGTCATGATTAGAGATAGACGTCCACATCATAACGCTACCACCACCAAACCTGTCCACTTCCTGTACGCAGTTTCCGGCGTAACGTTCTCCCCGACGTCTGTAGACCCATGGTCTTCCATCCCCTCGACGGAGGAGAAATCTTGATTCGTCGCTGAACCAGGCCATACGACGATAATGCAGTCCTTAATATGACGCGTCGAGCAGGACGTTTTGCTCGTTAGTTTACTGCTCTTAAACGGTTTCATACGGTCTGGTCGAAGATTCTGCGCAGTCCGGGTATTTTGGATGCGGTTGAGGTGGCTGTGGTCGGATGTAGCGATCTTGGTTACATTGAAAACCCTGGCTACAGTTGATCGGGATTACCCTGCCTGCAAACGTTGTTTTTTTGCACTTCTGTTAATCTTGGCATGTTGTTGAACTGTCAGTGTTCGATTGACACAGATGCAAGGCAATCAAAATCCCTTCACTTGAATGTTTGCTAATATGGCTTTATGGGCAAAAATATCCGTGTTGCGTTTCCTTTTTTGAAGAGTATATATCCATGAATCAAAAGGTAATATGTATTTTGCAATACATTAGTAAAATTAATTCTTCTGATTTTTGAATATTCCTAGGTGACCTTTATTTCAATGGTTCTAATTACTCTCGATCAACGGGGTTCTTCGTGGATGCGGGGGAATCTTGTTTTATGCTGCAGTCAACAAAACATTACCGGGCACAAGAAAGTATTCACCAATGTTTCATGGTGCTTAAACATGAAACAAACAAGAAATTGTTAATCGATGGTGATGTATTTGATACGGTTGTCATAGTTGTGATTTGGACCTCAAGTTTCCAGTGCTTCGGCGACTGTTTTCAGACTAGTAACGTTTGGAAAATGTTTGTAACGTTTTTCGTCCATTCTAATTTCTAGAGTATACTTTCTTTTGCCCAGCAGTTTATATCATCACGACCCGTAAATAGTCGGATCTGGTGAAGTAAATTAGTGGTCAACAACATGAGCAACGATCAACGCCGTCGAGGTACGACCACGTCACAAGACTAGAGTGGTGACACGCTGTTATTGCGACAAGCATTCGGGCACTGTTCATGTAACAGTTTGATAAGATTCAAGTGCATTCGGCATGGATTTTAGGAACGCTTCTATGTTACACTTTAATGACGTCTACGGTCAATAGGGGACCACTCTGACGTGAACAGTGATCACGCCACTTTCACGGGATAGCAGAATGCAACCTTCTGATAAGCAGCGGCCTGAACGTTCTTGCGCCATGTTGATCATATCTTTTACAAACGTTTGAAGATTGCCTCACGTAATGAACCACACATCACAGTTATGTAGGTTTTATCTCACATAGATGCCAATTTAATTCATATTTGTCTTTAGTTATTTCACGGCAAACGTCGAAGGTCAATAATTCAACTCAGAAACGATCTAGTCTTGTTTAAGTCATTTATCTTAAATATAAGTAATCGTGTAAGTATATTTCAAGTAGAATGTGTTATTATATACTTCTCCTAACAATCCTACTGTTCAAATGTAATTATATATTCTCTAACTTTGTGAGGTGAGGTGAAATTGGTTTTAACGTCGCGTCCAAGATTATTGCACTTATATAGGGACGTGCATGCACGCTTTTGTGTGTGTGTGTGTGTGTGTGTGTGTGTGTGTGTGCTGCTGCTTGTACTAGTCCGACTGTATAGTGCTAGCTCACTGAGATACCATGTCGCAGTTTAACATGAATACCCCACTCAGACACAGTGTACTGACTCCGAGCCGACTAGTCCTTGTTTTAGACCCCTAATGCCGAGCGCCAGACAGGGTAACAACAAGTACCATCTTTTAACGTCCTTTGGTATGACGCGGTCGGGGATTGAACCCCGGACCTTCC